TCCGCATGGCTTCCACAGGAATGAATGAATAGCTGTGCGCGGCCTCTTGATTTACACGTTTGTGACTCGTTGGTCTGCCCTGTTTCCTTGGCCCACGGTGTACACAGTCCCAGACGGTACTTGCTTGACTGGACTGGGCTGGAGTGACTGGACTGGGACTGCTGATACTGCACGGTGGACTTCCACCACTTGCCCACTTGCCTTGACCTACAGTGCGCTGACTCCGAAAGGCCACTTCTAGAAACATCTACTTGGCCTTTCGGTACTGTAGCAGCTACGATTCTGCCCTTTCAGGTAAGTAGCAGCTACGACTTTGACCGTCCGGAAAGTCTACAGCTAAGACCTCTGGACTCTCTAGACTCCTACCGGACAGGTCTACAGTTCGAATCCCCTATACCCTGTAACCTACGATGACCTACCTACCACTGGCAGTCCTACAGGTCGCTGGTTCAACTCTACGGGTTGACACAGGTACTGTACACAGGTAAGGTGGGGACTAGGGATCGAGCCCTGGGATCTGCATCAGCTACTGCGAACTGGTGAATACCTTTACTATGGCTGGCTTTTGTTAGATTTCTCCATTTTACTGGATTGTCTACGGCAAAGCCAGACCATTCACATTCCATGAGACACATGTGAGTTCAGGTTGTTTTCTAATTTCACTTAGAATGTCTTCATCTGCGGTTGGTTTAAATCTTTTTGTTGTGCTCGCGGTGGCCTCCTCTTGTGAACCTTCTATTGAGGATCTGATTGGCTTACATAAAGAAGGGGCTGATTTTTTGTTCAGGTGGAGCTTTTCCTGATTCTCTCGTCCTTTGCTGCCCTCACCGCCTTGATCTTGTCTACTGCTTCCTCCATGTTCTTCCCCAGCCATTGTTCTCTCGCGAAGGTGGCCATGCTGTGGGCAATCCTGTCCAACTCGTCCTTGTGTCTCGGGAGTGTGTGCGGGATTTCACAGATCAACTCCCATGGCTTCCATACCAAGACCCTATCTCAATTGAGTGAGGTGTCATAGATGGCCATGCAGGGTCTCATGTAGGTCCACTGCGATTTCCCCTTGTCATCATATCCTCTTTTTTTCTGAAGTCTCTCATCGTGGCAGGCCCTGTAGAAGGGTTAGGGGCATTGGTCTGAGACATTTGCCCTCAGAAAATGTCCTGGCTGATCTATTTCTTGGGCGGTAACGATGGTCAACGGGGCCTGGACTCTGATTTGCCACTCTCCTCTCTGTGAATCGAAATGGAAGGACAGAACCTGTACCGTTGGAGATAAGGAGCCAGCATCTATACTTGCTTGGAGAGCCAGGTCTGTGGGATTTTCATCTGCAACCCGGTTGAGGGAGTGAGAGACTTCCTATAGTTCCTGATTCCGATCCTCCAAGAATCTGGTTTGTCTTTCCAAGATTGCAACCTGTCTTCTCATTTCTTTGTCTATGTTCTGTCTGTTCCAGCAAGTCACTGCCAAGGGGTGTATATATTGTCACATAACTATGAACTAAAAGAGCGCACTTTGCGAAACTAAAGGGGCACTGAAACCGTTTATTTTTATCATTCTTCTTTTAACTCCCCCTTCAGTATGCCTCTCACGTAAAAGGCTCGCCACGTTGATGAAGTTGAGCGTGAGCTGCCCGCATCTCCGTGTGCCATAACAACCCACTTGTACGCTGTGAGAAAGAGGCAGAGTAAAGGGGAAGGTGATAAGCACAGGGAAGAGAGATGAAGAGAAGACAAACAGAGAACCAAAAGGGAAAGTAAGGGAAAGTACGGAGTGTGTAATGAAGATGAGGGCAAAGGAGAGGATAACAAAAGCTCAAGAGTGAGTCTGTCCTTGATGACAGAGAGGACACACATTGCAAGCATGAGGTGGGTGACCACATGGAAGATCTAGCTGAGCATTACCAGCACAACAATTGCCACGACGACTGGCACTGAGCACGCCCACCATACACTCCCGACAAATGGCATGTCGATTGCAGGCCAAAATGAAGGAAAAACACTCACCACAGAAGACCATGCGTTCAGTATAGCGCCCATGGCCAAAAATGGACATATAGTGTCCGGATGCGGAGGGTGCCCCAGTAAGGAACGGAGGGACAGTCCTCTACACACATAGACAGAAACAATCTGATTGTAGTGATTGTGACAGAGACGATGGCGGTTACAGCCGAGTGTAACAGTGTCTGTAGTTATGCAAAGGAGAAGGTCGCAGAGTGTCGGTACATTGTCCTGCTCGAGCACGTTGCCAGAGGAATGACGAATATCATCAAACAGAGCTGCCCGGTAAACCGTAGGCAGAGAGGGAGAAGAGGACAACAAACGAGGGGCTGTGACAAACTGTTTCGTCGGAGTTTCACTAACTTATCAGGAGGCTGAAATGAACCCATATACTCTTGTTTGACTATTTGACGATATATAAGTATTACAAATTGGCTGTGACCCAAAAATATATATATATATATATATATATATATATCGTCAAATAGAACTGCCCGGTAAACCGTAGGCAGAGAGGGAGAAGAGGACAACAAACGAGGGGCTGTGACAAACTGTTTCGTCGGA